CGAGCGGGAGAGCGGCCCGGGCCAGGGGCCGAGACCCAGCCGGGCCGGGGCCGGTGGCGGGCGGCGGCAGGGAGGAGGGGTGCGGGATGCGCCCGAGAGTGTGTCTGTGAGTGTGCGAGCGCGCGCGAGCGCGGGAGGGGGGGTCGCGGAAAGCGGGAACACATTATGCAAATGTTGGAGGAATTTCTCAAAAAGCGATTTAGCAAAGACACAGGCGAATCAAGAGGAGGCGAGGCCGGTATTGTCCGTCTGAATAGACGCTGATAGCGCCGATGCGCCGGGGGTTGTGCGGGCGCAACGCTGAGAATCCCGACGCGGGGCCGGTCCCGGCCGCGCTGAGGGGCTGGAGGGTGCTTTTTCCTCCTCTTGAAGGCCTCTCTTTTCTCTTTTTGGTCCGGTTTCACACCCCCACCCCCGATCTCGCTCCCTTTGGCTCCAGGTTTTCCTCGGACTGACCCTCGAAAGGCGTCTGAATCCGTGTCACTATCGCCCTTTCAATTTCGCGGCACGAGTCGGGCGGGTTAGCCGACGCTCTCGGCGCTCCGGGTTTTATTTTTCTCAACCACCACCACTACCACCACCCCCATCTCCTTTTTATTTTCTTTCTTTCTCTCTTTTCTCCTTTTTGCATTTTGTGCAGAGGAGGAGAAGGGAGCGAGGAAGGGGGGGTGGGTGGAGAGAGAAAAATTCGATTTTTAATTACTACCATTAAAAAATCAAATTTGCAATTCTTTGGGCGGCCTGATGGATCTCACTGATTGACAGTTGGAATTGACACTCTGGCTACCTCTTATCTTGGGCATTCACGACAATTTCTAATTGCAGGTAGTTTGTGTGTGTGCGCGTGTTTTTTTCCCCCCTCGGAGGCTTGGATTGCAAGGGAACTAAGCGATTACTTCAAGAGCCACGGGTTAAGTGCAGGGAGAGGGGGAGAGAGAGGGAAAAAATCCAATCCAAATTCAAATTGCTTCATTAGAGAGACACCGCTTTTGTGGGGAAGGGCTTTAAATGCCCACTACAAAGTTAGGACTCATTGTTCGGCGCCGGTTTATATAACAGGCGCGGGGAGGCGCTGGGCGCAGGCTGCGCGGAGCCAGTTCTGCAGCCGCCGCCGCCTGCATTCCCTACCCCACCTCCCCCAGGTGATGGCCCAGCCAGGGTCCGGCTGCAAAGCGACCACCCGCTGTCTTGAAGGGACTGCGCCGCCAGCCATGGTGAGTCCGTTCGGCTCTGCCTTCGGCCCTTGGTCCCCCAACAGCCCAGCTCTTGGCACCTGGCCTGGTTTTCTGGCCACTAACCGCTTCCCCGTGCGCTGGGGGACACGGTGTGGGCGCCGCCTCTCTCTGAGCCTCGGTTTTCCGGCCAGAAATGTGGGCTTTGACCGCTCCCCGCACCCCAGACGCGCGTGTTAAGAGTTGGGGCCGTCCCTTCCTCTCCAACAGGCCCTTCCATTCCAGTCCTCCAGCCTAAAGCGCGACATCCCAGGCGGATTTCGTTGTCAGTTGGTGCGCTCGGCTGCTAGACTCGTCTGGGAAGCCGGGGCAGCTGTGGGCGCCTGGCTCAGTGCTGTGCTGCCTCTCTGCCCCACTGCAGGCGCAGTCGGAAGCCGAGGCGCTGGCAGGCGCTCTGGACAAGGACGAGGGTCGGGCCTCCCCATGTACGCCCAGCACACCATCTGTGTGCTCACCGCCCTCTGCCGCCTCCTCCGTGCCGTCTGCCGGCAAGAACATCTGCTCCAGTTGTGGCCTTGAGATCCTGGACCGGTATCTGCTCAAGGTGAGTCAGGGTGGGTGTTGGCAGGTGTGGGTGGCAGCCCAGGGGAACTCAGAAAAGCAACAGGGGGTGCCAGGTCCCTGTAATTCCAAATACTGGCTCAGCAGCTGCCAGACTTCGTGGCTGTGGGCAAGCCTTAGTGCCTCTGTGCCCAGGGTTCCGTCTGAAAAAATGCGAGGCGTATATTCCTATCCCCGAACCTCAGTATTACCGAAGAAACATAATAGAGTCGCAAGCACCTCCTGAGCTTCGGCGTCCGTCTGCAAATGAGGCCGGGGAGGCTGGGCCCGGGCGTCAAAGAGCCTCGCGCTAAGCCGACCCCCATCTCCGCCCCCTCCCCAGGTCAACAACCTCATCTGGCACGTGCGGTGCCTGGAGTGCTCCGTGTGTCGAACGTCGCTGAGGCAGCAGAACAGCTGCTACATCAAGAACAAGGAAATCTTCTGCAAGATGGACTACTTCAGGTAGGCTGCGGCCCCCTGGGGCCAGCGGTGCTTGGGCGGGCAGGCCCCGGCGCTTACCCAGGCCACTTTTACTGCGTCTGCTCTCAGACTCCTGAGCCTTGGGGTCGCGAGTGCACTCCTGGCGCGCGGTACCCTCCCAGCCCGCCGGCTCTCAGCGTCTCTAACCCAAGGCTCCAGACAGTGCTGCCGAGTGATCTGCGTCCGGTTCCCGCTGCCCGCAGGGTTTTGGTCGTGTCTCTGGCTCCGTCTCGGGTCTTGCCTAAGTCTCAGGCTCCATTTCTGACCTCAGCCACCGCGGTCGAATTCTACGTCCATCCGGGACTCTGGCTGGACCCGCTTGGATCCCAGGGGTCAATCTGGCTGCATCTCCAGTGCGCTCCGCCTCTGGTTACAACCCTCCTTAGACCGCAGACCTGTCTCTGCAGGGACCCTAAGCTGAAGCCCGGACTATCCTTGTTCGGGCTCTGACCCGGGCTGTCCTCCGGGCTGCGATCTGATCCGGTCCCGAAACACCAGCGTGGCATCCTTCTCAGATCCTAGCATTCATCCTGATCCCCAGTCTTGGTCTTCGGCTCAGCCTCAGTTCATGCGTTGGTTGCTGGAGCGTCGCATTTCGAGTCTGGGGTCTTGCCCTCGTCCCAGGCACCTGTTCCAGTCCCAGCTCCGCCGTTGTTTCCGGTCCGGCTTCAGCCTTTTCCGGGCCTAGGCTCTGGCTTTGGGCCCCCGGGAGGCAAAGGCAGAGAAGCAGGCCCCTCAGCCCTGAGGGCCAAGTAGGATCACCTTGGGGCCACGCTCTTTGTGCCACACGTCCCGGCAGCTCAATCGCTGCCAAGTGGCATCCTCCTGCCCCCTTCGCAGCATCTCAGACTCTGGAGCGGGCCTTGCCTCTGGCAGATGCAGCCCTGGCCTGACCCGGTCAAGGGGTCGAGGTCACTGCAGTGTCAGAGGCTCTGCATCAGGCAGTCTGCCCTATCCTGGAGGGAAGGATGAACCAGGCCTGACCATCTGGTCAGGCCTATGAATCTTAGAAAAATGGTGTAGAAGTGGTTCCTGGGAGGGATGCCTGTTCCCAAATGCTTTCTCAGGAAGTGGAGAAAGAGGCTATCCCTATAGTCCACCCTCCCAACCCACATACATCCTTTCCTTCCTTGCCTCAGGAGAAGTCATGGCTTGAGTGTTCCTGGGAAGACCCCAGTCCTCAAAAGAGCCTCTGAGGGTCAGAGAATGTGGTGGACCGCAATGCTGCCCCTACTCCCTGCCCCTAGAGCATTGAAACTCCAGGGACCTTGAAAGAGACCTTGAGCAAGGGTGTGTTGGAAACATATGGAGCTGGGGTTCTCTGAGGAAACCGGAAGAGGCACGGTTAAAGAGGCAGACTCTTCTTTTATGTGATGGGTATGAGAGTCTGCAGCTGGGGTGGGGGTGGGAGTGCTCTACCAGGTGGCCTAGGACTCCTGGTACAAGGAGTATGTGTGTCTGTATTGTCTGGAATCCACGAAGTAGTGCAGGGAAGTGTCCTGAGTAAGGTCAGGCATTTGTGGACAGCCTGTGGGTTTTTATAGACAAACATTTGTCTTTTAGTTCATGTGTGAGTGTAGAAAGTGTGGCGCCTATACGTGAATGTTGAGAGTTGGTGAATGTGTATATGTGTGTGCAAGGTAGTCAGAATAGGATCATGTCTAGATGAGGATCTGTGAGTGGGAGGGTGAGGTAGGATGAGAGGATTCTGAAGTCTGGTCACCGTCCATGCCTATCGTCTCCTCTGAGGGAGCATTCCTGCTGAGGCTTCCCACCCAGCGCTGAGGGGTGAAGGGTGAGGAATGGTGTGCTGTGGATGTGCTGCTATGGTCTGCTGTGTGCGTGTGGGGTGTGACTGGAGTGTAATGTCTCCTCCCACTGTCCCATCTCACTGTTGATTTGGCCCAGGCAGGAAATGGAGGTTAGAGTCACTGTCTAGCACCTCCCTGATCTAAGCCTGATTTCAGTTGAGGAAAAAAAGCCAGCTGCTGTTTTGGGGTCCCCGGGATTCATGTGCTACCAGGGAGTTTAAGGAACCCAACAGGAAGGTGTCTAGGCCCTCCCTGTGACAAAAGACCTGGAAGCCTTCTTTGCTTCTTGGCTGAATGTCCTCCCTGCTTCTTCAGCCCCAGTTTATGCCTGTGCCAGACGGAGCCTCCTTGGTGCTGTGTTTTACCAAACCTTGAAGGTCCAGTCAAAACTAGGGCCTTGATTTCATCATTCAGAGCCTTTAATCATTCAGGACTAACGCCCTGTCCCACTGCAGTGGGATAGAGGGTAGTGTGTGCGGCCTTTGTGGGGAGAGGCAGGAGACTGAGCTCTGCAAAGCCAGTTGTGACCTTGGGCATGTCACTATATCTTTCTGCCCTGTGTTTTCTTTTTCTAAGATTGTTTCCTTGAGCTGCCAAAGAGGCCACTGAGGGAATGTCTCCATGAAAGCACCTTAAGTGACAGTGACTACCCGTGCATCAGTTAGCAACATCGTCATCATTGTGACAAGGGGCGTCAGAGGGTTCAGGTCTATGATGAGCAGTAATCCTTTTCCAGTGACAAGAGTCTCCAAAGCAAAACTGTTTTTGGTTTTTTTTTGTTGTTGTTTTGGTACTAGTAATTGAACTCAGGACCTTGCACTTGCCAGGCAGGTGCTGTGCCACTGAGCTATATCCTCCGCCCTCCAAAGCAAAACTAAAGCCGATTCTTTATTTTTTTTTTTTTATAAGAAAATGGAGGGAATAAAAGCTCACATTCTCTGGGATATGGGTAGAATTGTTGCTTTTCTAAACATTTCTCCTCCTGCCAGATCTCTCCTTGTAGGCATAGCCCATCTCTGGCAGTCCCACCTGTATAAAAAATAATAAAACCCACAAAAAGAGAAAGAAAAAGCCAGCAGACTGCGGGGCAAGAACTATTGTCCACACCGAGCAGCAGCAAGGGCCGCTGTGAGGAAGGCCTTCTTAGAGAAGATTGAAGCGTGTTTTGTAATAGGCAGATCTCTTCTCAAGAGCTGGAGCTCATGGAGGGCTCATGAGATTCTCTGGGCCTCTTTCTTGAATGTGGGGGTCAAAGTCTGGTGGGATATGGATTGGAGCACTCTCCTCAGAGAAAGAGGCTGAGATCTTCCCAGGGTAGAGGAGAGTAAGGAAGAACAGAGTGGCCAAGGCCCATGGAGAGGCCACTTGGATCTCCTATGGTCCTCTCACCCTTGATCTTGTCCCGTGGAGAAGGGGTTTTCCAAGATTCTGTCCCCTATCTTGGCCCTCCTGAACACTGTCTTGTGGGTCTTCCTTCAGTCTCCGTTGGCAGAGCTCACAACGGTGACTCAGAAATTAGTGACTAGGAAGGAACTCTGAGTGTGTCAGGGAGGGAGGTTGCAGAACATGGGCAGATTCAAGGCCCAGTGCTGCTCTTGGCCTGTGTGTGTGTGTGTGTGTGTGTGTGTGTGTGTGTAGGGGGGTGTTGAGTTTTCACTGGCTCTGTGTCCTTGGTCAAGTCTCTGGACTTTTCTGCCTCAGTGTCCAAACAGGACCTCATAAGTCCTGTGGGTTCAACCTCCTTCTCACCTCTCTTTACTCTCTGAGAATCCTTGCAGAAAAAAAAAAAAAAATTACCAACAAGGAAAAATAATAGGGTTTTAGATTTCTTCACTTTTCTGTTGGGACCTTTTCTTTTTTTTCCCACAAAGTGAAGAAAACTGGGGAAGAAACAGCGTATTGGGGCCATTCATATTTCCACTGGCAATAGCAACCACAATCCTCTCTCCCTAGCTCCCTCCTGTTCTCCTACCTGCATAAGTAAGGCAAGGCTAGTTCAGCTTCCTGGGGCATCATTCCTATTATATAGTTGGGGCATCATTCCTATTATATAGCGATCTATGTCCTGGGAAAGTAGGAAGTGACATGATCAGGGTCACACAATAAGCAAGACCACGGAAGAGGGGCAGGGCAAGAGCGAGGCCACCTCTCATCAGGAATTGTGCTAATTGTTTACTGTTTTGTCTCATTTAATCCTCAGGTTCACCTCGTGAATATGATTTTTCATAATCTGAGGGGAAACTGAGGCCTAAGGGGTGAGATCATACAGCTAATAAGTGGTAGAGGCCATGGGACATCTAACTCCACAGACATTCCCCGACTCTTTTCCAGGGAAGACATGTCAGCTACCTCTTTGTGCATTGTGGGACCTGTGGAATGGCAGAGCCCCCCTTTGCTGGTCCCAAGTCCCAATCCGGTTCACACGGCTTTACATAGACAGCACTCCTGGGTGGCCCTGGGAGTAACGGAAGAGCACCCCGCTCAGGCCTGAAACTGGCACAACTTTGCCAAGGTCAAACAGCCCTGGTCCCTCTTCCCTTCTGACAATGGCACTGAGGAACAAAGGGTTAACCGCCTCCCTCATGTTTTAGGGGTAGGGTGCCTACAGTGCTCAGGTGGCTGAAGTTCCAGTTCCTTGCTGGGTCCACTGGCCCTAGGGCAGGGCCCCATCCTTCCCTAGCCTTCCACCTTGAGCCCAAGAGCTGTTCTTGAACTCCAGAGGGAGAACCCCACCCACTCCCCTAAAGCGAGGGCCCTGGGGAGGTTGAGAGACTGCGAGCGGCCCCCCCACCACGGTGGGGGGGGGCAGCAGCCTCCAGCTGTTGGGGGCAGATGTTGGGGAGAAGGAGAGGGGAGCTGAAGGGGAGGGGCCTCAGGCCGAGACCTCGGAGGCACGCTGGCCGCTTTAACCTCTTAATTGCTGGTTCTGGTTTTTCTGGTTTCTTCCCCTAAGGGTTTGGTTAGAAGGAAAGGAACACAGGGAATAGAAAAAGCTCCACCTCCAACCCTCCTTGTTCGCTGCATAGAATCTCTTTAAGGCCATCCATCCAATGAGCATCTGCAGCCCCAAACAAGCGAACTCCAGTTTTGAGTTTCAGTGCCTGGGCTCAACAGCTTCCTAACATTGGAGCTCCCACTCTGAGCTTTTGGTTTCCTCAAGCAGAAAAGGTGTAGCTTAATAAACGGGGCAAGGGGTCGTAGTGAAACTCCGCTGGGCTCATTCATCGGACAAGTAATTACTGAGCGTCTGCTGGGTATCCAAGGGAAATAAACCTGGAAAGCGAGCCGCGCTGGGCAAGGGCGCACAGCTCCCGCTGCACGACCACGAGTATCCAGATCGCTGTGCTCCCCATTCTGAGGATAGAGGGTTTGGCGGTGAGCGATACCCACGCTGCTCCTTTCCGCAGTGGCCAGGATGCGCCGCAGCGGTTGGACACCTCTCCGTCTCCGAGGCACCTCCGTCCTCCTCGTCTTTACCTCCGGAGCACCAGGAGCCAGGGAAGAGCGCTGGAGGGTTAGACCTCCCAGCAAGCCTGGGATGGCAGTAGGAGCGTCCCCTAATCCTTTTGGCGCTCCGTTCACAGCTCCCGAACACCCCTTTCTTGAAGTTTCGTTGTCGGCGCCGCCCATTTCGCTGCTTCCGGATAAGGGCGGCTTATGTCTAGCAGCCCGCCTGGGAAGGAGTCTGTCGGTTTGTCAGAGCCTCAATCGTAAGCCTCCTCGTACCTTTTGTTCGTGCCGTTGACCCCTTTTCTGGGCGGGAGACACATTGCAGGAGCGGCCCTAACTCATCCCATCACACATAATGACAACCCTATCGCCTCTCCGAGGATCCAGTGCGAGGATTATTTCGTTGACTGGCCTGAGTCACAGCAAATTCCGAGAGAACCTAGGACTGGGAACAGCTTCTGACCTTTGGCGTGAGAAAATTGCTGATGGGTCCAGTCGGTGTCCGCTTAAGAGCAAAGGGTTGGGCACTGTGGTTTACTTATGTGGGTGCAGTGTGGTCTTGGTCTTCGGGGACTCGCAGGGCAGGAAGACCAAGGATGGGTGAGCGGGGAGACTGGCAGAGGATGAGGAATCTCACCCAGCCGAGGCCGAGGATCAGAACCGTGCATTCTGGCGCAGCGCACAGAGGTCACAGGCGGGAGGATCAGCCGCTTTTGCCCTCCCTACCTCTGAAGGCTGGGACCTTCCCTGCTCTCCTGTCTTCCTGAGGATGCGCTTCGCGCCTCTGGAGGCGCCTTCGACCCTGCCCTGCCCCGCACGGGAGTTTTCAGAACCCACGCCCCTCCCATAGGTCTGACCCAATAGGTCAGACCAAGCACCCTTCTTATTCTTGCTCCTGGGGTCCCAGGTCACCTCATACCCAGATTGGCTGCTCCGGCGGATTCTAGCTCTGTTAAGGACCTCGGTGAGAGCCTCAACCCTGGCCCCACACTGTGCGGTCATTTGCGGTATCTGAACCACTAGTTCCACCCGTGAAAAATCGGTTTCAGAGTCGCTACATCATGCGGACTCGACAAAGCCGAGGGTGTGCAAAGAAAGGCGCTGTGCCCAGGAGCCCACCACCACCCGCAGGAATGGCTCTGCGCATGGGTGGGCGCTCTGTCCTCCCCAAGTACAAGTAATAGAAAGAAAGCCAGCCTCGCCTCGGAGACCAGAGTGTTCCCCATCCAGATGCCACTAGTTGGGTGGCAGAACCGGGAGGTTGGTCCCAAGGTTGGGGAGCTGGGGTCGGCAAAACGGTTTGATCCTTCACCCCATGTACTGCAGGGTTAGGAACAGAGCCCATTGGCGTGCTGAGCTCTCTCTGGAGAAGTGGTTCCTGAGGTCAGGAGCCGCCCCAGCTGAGCCGCTTGAGTGAACCTTTCCGGAGGATGGTGGCGGTGGCCACAGAGCATCCTCGTTCTCCTGTGGCTCTCGAGGGGTCGCCTGAGCTGACCGAGGCCGCAGTGATTGCGCACTTGGTACAACGCAACATTTTTATCAACCATCGACTACATGGACTTACCAAAGGAGGCAGACTGTAACCAGAGAGGTTTTGCTAGGCTGTTTCCTCTAGCCACACACAGACTTTTGCTAATCCTCCGCTGAGTGGAAGGGTGTCATTCCTGGAGACAGGCAAACCTTGGTCTGCTCTCCGCCCCAGGAGTGCTTGGGATAAACGGACACCAGCCATTGACAGACCGCTGTGATCAACGCTAAGTGGGTGGTGGGTCTCTGGTGGACATGTCCTGGAAAGAACTCGTCTGGGAAAAGGCCTGGAGGTGGGAAAGTGCTTCAGAGGGGGCCAGACAGACCTGGGACTCGGGCTTGGATGTGGGGATGCGCGAGATCTTGAGGAAGGTCTGGAAGGAAATGGGCCTGAAGAGGATGCAGTCTGCTGCATTTTCTCAGCCTAAAGTGGCTTGGTTGAGATCCTGAGGGGCGAGGGGAGCTACCAAAGAACTGTAGGTAGGGTGTACACAGGATTCCAAAGTGCATGTTGGGAGCTTCTGTGACTGCCGTGAAGAGGATGAGGTGGCAGGGCAAGGGTGGAACCTGGAGCGACTGGCAGGTTGGGCTGCCTGATGGGAACGTGGTCTGAGAGGGACAGTGACAGTGGAGATGGCGAGGAGGAGATGAATCTCAGAGATCTTAGGAATCAGAACCCTTAGCCCTTGAGGACTGAATGTGGAGTTTCAAGGAGGGAAGAATATATGAGTTAGTGGTAGTGAGGGCGTCAATCCCTGATCTAGAAAGCACAACAGAGGAAACTGAAGCTGAGAGGGTTGGGACAGTCAACCATTTGAACAAGACTTCCCCGGTGGCCAGGACCTGGCTCCTGCTTCCTGGAGGGGCTCCCACTCTGGTGATATGCTGCCTAACCAAATAGCCCATTACAATGCAGGGAGGGAGAAGGGGAAGTAGCAGAATCAAGGAAGGTGTAAAGGGGCAAGGAAACGTTTGATTTGGACCTTTCACTTTTGTCTTTTTTAATATTCAATGTTAGGATGTCATAGGCTCCAGAGTCTGGGACTAGATGGGTTCTTCGTAGACTGCAAAGCCTTCATAGAGTAAACAACTACTAGTAGTCATTGCTGTCACCTAGCTCAGCTCAGGGCAAGGAAAGTAAGAACTAAGAGGAATTAAACAATTTGCCCACGGTCACAGGGCCAGTATGTACATCTCTGTCTTTCTTCCAAGGAACTCTGATTTTTTGTACAACTATAGCTGGGGCTATAGTTTATTTATCTCTGGAGTCAGCCTGGATGGGGTTCCTATCCTTGTAAGCTGTGTGACTCAGTGACCCCTATTTTCCTCAACTGTAAAGTGAGGACTAATTGGGATAATCAGTGTGAAACACAGAGAATCTTGTTGGGTATGTGGTGCTCAAAAATTTGCCTATTAATATTACTATGTTCTCCTAACAGCTATGAGGTATTTCAATGAACACATTCATTATAAGTGTAAGTGACTATCACAGAAAATTTGGAAAAGTCACAAAAGCACCATGAAGAAAATAGAAGCACCCACCAGCTCACCTTCTAGGTGGGACTTGGCTGTGGAAGGGTAGTCCATCCAAGAATAGGTTAATGAGTGAGCAACTGCTCCGAGTCCAGAAGCCTGGGTGTGGCATGTGGCGGGACGGTGAGAGGGAAGCCTTACCAACCTGTCCCTGCTCCCTTGTGTCACAGCCGATTTGGGACCAAGTGTGCCCGGTGCGGTCGACAGATCTACGCCAGTGACTGGGTGCGACGGGCACGCGGCAACGCCTATCACCTCGCCTGCTTTGCCTGCTTCTCCTGCAAGCGCCAGCTGTCCACCGGTGAAGAGTTCGGCTTGGTGGAGGAGAAGGTGCTGTGCCGTATCCACTATGACACCATGATCGAGAACCTCAAGAGAGCCGCGGAGAACGGTACCCAGCTGGCCCTGCCAGGCACCTCTGTCCTGAGCCCTTTCCCACCCAGACCCAGCATCCCAGACACAACCTATACTGCTTTACAAACTGGGAGTTCCTTAGTCCACCTGAAGGCAATGTGAAGATGGGGCTGTACATCAGCTGCGCGTGCGCTCTGGCTCCACCATTTGCATGGGAGTGGAAGATGCTGCCAGTCCCCGCAACTGTTAACTTACCTATAAAATGGGGCCAATGACATATTCTCAAAGATAGAGGAGCTGATGTGTTGTAAAGCCAGGAGACACTCCATGATCCCTAGAGATGGAGTCTTAATGGATCAGCCTTCTCCACCTTTGGAAAGCTCTTGTTGATCTGGGAGCTCATCCCTTCCAACTGCCTGTGCCAGGCCTGAAGATGCAGCTTCCATCCTGAGGCTTGAGGGTGGGAGTTTCATACCAGACCAGTGGCTCTGGCTATAAAGGCAAAGAACCTAATTCCTGTGACTAGAGACCCAGCTCCAGCATACTATGCTAACATATGAAGTTTCCTTTCCTCTCGGGGCCTCAGTCCCATCATCTGATCCCTAAATGTCCTTTGCCTCTGATAACTGTTATTTTCCAAGACATACGGGCCCAAGAACAGACATCCAGGGATCTAAGGGACTATTACAGGTGGGGTAAGGGCTGGAGAAGGGAATGTAGGCTGGGCTTTGGGCAGAGGCAAGGACCTGTCTGCTACAGTGTCTGTGGACGCTGTTATTTTCTCTATAACATGGATTATTTTAGATAATCTTTACAATAGTCCTAGGAAATTGGTGTTGTATCCCCATTTTATAGGCAAGAAAATAGGCAGATGTTATCTGCAGTATGTAGCTTGCGACACATTATGTGCTGGTAGGTCTGGCTGATTCTAAAGCTCAGGCTCTTTACTACCATAGCATAGCACACCATACTATGATGGTACCACCTCACCCCCAGGCTCCAGGGCCCTTTAATCAGACTTCAAAAAGCCAGAAAGGTGCTGAGATATGGCTGTCTTCAGGAATTTCATTTCTCTATCTAAAAAAAAAAAAAAAGCCACACTTGTTTACTTTGCTATGGGATATTACTATCGTACAATTTCTGCCTCACCTCCACCCAGTTCCTCTGGGGGAGGTTATGGACCACCCTGCCTCAATTTCTAGGCCCCAGCCCAAGGACTAATTGGGGACCACCAGAATGTTCCTGGCCACGGCTAAATCAAGACCATCACCTTCTCCTGCCAGGATCAGGGCTAAGTGGAGAGCAAGTGAACTTGGGGTGCTAGGCAGTTTTCTGTAACGTGGTAGGCAAGTCAGCAGTGGAGTCAGGATGGAAACTGGAAAGTCAGACCTTCTTTAGCACCATGGTCTTTAATAACCTCAGGCTCCTTCCACACCTGGATGGATGAGGACCACCTTTAGTCATAGTCTGGTCCATCACATCCGGTTCTCAAGGTGCGGAGACCATGAGAATTTGAAGGCTTGGGGCCCTCAGATCTCCCTTAGTGATCAACTCTCAATGTGGGCTACTGTTTTGTTTGTTATACATCACACAAACACATACACACACACACTACACATGTTCACTATAGAAAAATTAGAAAAGATCGTTAAGCAAAAGAAAAACAAAATCAAGATCACTCTAAATGCTACCTTCTCTCATTTTAATGTTTATCTTTCCAGATTTTAAAAATTCTATGTATCTTGGTGTGTTTGTTTATTCCTTCAACATAGTTTTTGTCCTAATTTAAAAATTACACTAAATTGTTAGCACTGGTTATCTCTAACTGGTGGAATTACTGGCGATTTTCTACTTTTTTTATGTTTATTGAAATTTTCTAGACTTTTAATAAAGACCATGGATTAATGCTGTACTAAAAAACATGAGGTGTTAAAAATAAAATGGGTATTTAGTGGTTTACAATTACAATAGTGAAAGTAATATAAGTGCAAAGAGAATATCTAAAATATACACAACTTAAAATTGAAATTTAGAGAAGTTAAGTGACATTTAATTGTCTTGAAAACTTCAATAGAGAAATATTGAAAGTAAAGGGTCTCTTTGATTGCACTCCTCAGAGATAAACCACTGCCAACAGCTTGGTGTATATCCTTCCATTTTTTTCTCACTCATTTTTATAAAATTGGAGTCACAGTTCTGGAACCTGCTTGCTTCTTACCTCCACCAGCCTTTGGTTTCCTCCAGTTTAACCAGGAGGGAATCCGGTTTGGGGCGTTAGGGTCAGCCAGCTTTCAGATCCTAGCCGGAAGTTTCCAGGCAGAGGCTTTTTTCTTTCTGAGTCTCAATTTCCTTTCATGTAAAATGGGGATAATGCCACCTCTCCTAAGGGTTGTGACACATAAACAACACTATCGAATGGACTCCCAGAAACACAAGCTCTTTCCCCAGAGACTAAGCTCAGGGACTAGGACCTTGGGATCCCCACTCCCAGCCAGCTCCGCTCCTGACCCTTCCAGGGACAAGCTCCCCCCACCCCCATCCTTTCCAGGCTGCCACTAGAAGAGATGGGGACGCGTGGTCAGCTGCTTCTGTCGCCCCCAGGGAACGGCCTCACGTTGGAGGGGGCAGTGCCCTCAGAACAGGACAGTCAGCCCAAGCCGGCCAAGCGCGCGCGGACGTCCTTCACAGCAGAGCAATTGCAGGTACCCGGGCGAGCCGAGAGCAGAGGGTGTGGGCGGGGTCTCGCAGGGGCGGGGCTGAGCGGCCTCTAGCCCCACCCCCTCGGCCTGGACCCTCGCTGGCGGGGGGGGGGGGCGGCTGCAGCTGTCTGGGGCGTGGCCTCGGGCCCAGAGCCTCTGATTGGCCCGGGGTCTCGGAGACCTCCGCGCGCCCCTGTCTCATCGCCCTTCCGCGCCCCGCAGGTTATGCAGGCGCAGTTTGCGCAGGACAACAACCCCGACGCACAGACTCTGCAGAAGCTGGCGGACATGACCGGCCTCAGCCGGAGGGTCATCCAGGTGCGGCCCGGGTGGGTGGGGCCTTCAGATCTGGGGCGGGGCCTGGGGGGAGCCCTGGAGCTAGCTGAGGTGCCGAGGGTCGGGGGTGCACGTGGCCGCCCTTCCTCAGGAGGCGACGAAGCAGCCCCGCCTGGGGTGCCCCGGCAGCAGAACCGACCCTTTTCCGCGAGGCCGAGGCTGCTGAGGCTGTTGTTCCAGGTGTGGTTTCAAAACTGCCGGGCGCGTCATAAAAAGCACACACCGCAGCACCCAGTGCCGCCCTCAGGGGCGCCCCCTACCCGCCTCCCCTCTGCCTTGTCCGACGACATCCACTACTCCCCGTTCAGCAGCCCCGAGCGGGCGCGCATGGTCACCCTGCACGGCTACATTGAGAGTAAGTGATCACGACACGGGGACCGCGGGGCCTGCGGGGAAGGGGATGCTGAGGAGGGCGCCTGGGCGAGGAGGCTGAGGTGTGGGAAGGCCTTGCAGAGCATCCTGGTGAAGATGCGGGACCCCCAAATCACTGGGACCGAGGAGGTGCAGGGAAGGAGTAAATTTCCCGTCCTGCCTCAGTGGGGCGGCAACCCTGTAGAAGCAAGCAATTTAGCCATTCCTCAAATGTCTTTCTATACCCACTCTGTGCAAAGGCCGAGGGACTCGGTCTTTCCCTAGATGAGCAAGATTCCTGTCGAGTCCGCATTCTGGTGGGCGAGACAGCATGGAATGACAACCAGAATGTGTGACAGTCACTGGGATGGTTTCTGCAGAAGGATGCCCGCGGGAGTGTTGAGATGCTCCTGGGGAGGCTGCCTCTGAGAGGGGAAAAATCAGTAGAACTTAGTGAGGCATGTGGACTGGAGGAAACTCAATGTGGGCAGAGGAGGGCCTAGAAAGCATCCTGGCACAGGTGCATTTGGGGGAGCAGGCCAGTGTGGCAGGACCACCCAGGGCTGTGAGGCCTTGGGCAGATCACCTCACCTCCTTGAACCTCGACTTCCTCACCTGTAAAACGGGATGATAATAATGCCTCTCAAAGGGTGAGGATGGATTCGTGCATCCTGTCAAAACGTCAAGTACCTCTGTGTTTTTAGCACAAGGATTCAACAGTGAACACAACGGGCCAGCTACTGTGCTCCTTGAGACTCACATTCCTGAGTAGGAGATGGGAGGGCTGTCATGGATAGGTGTGAGCACAAGGGGAGAGATGAGGGCCCAGTCCTGGTGAGTGACCTTGGAACAAGAAACTGGAGGAGGGAGAGAGTAAGAGTTCAGTGAGAGTCTGCTCCTGAGCAGGTGCTTTTCCCAGATTTTCTCTTTTGGGTTTGTTTTCTCAAAGCTGGGGGTGACAAAAACAAAGGAACAGAAAACCAGAAGTCACACACACGCGCACGAGCACACGCTCCCTTCTCTGACTCCAAGTAAAAGGGGAAAGGAAAGGAGGTCAGAGAATTGTTGCTTACTGGACACTATATTGTTTGTGTCTCTGCACATCACAGGTCACTATCCTCTTTAAGTAGATGAGGACACCAAAGACCCGCTGTTAGTGGGAGTCAATACCTTTTACTGATCAAACGTAGGCTTTACTGTCAGCTTCAACCGCCCCTGCCATCTACTAGCTGGGTGTCATCGGGCAAGTTTCTTTGCTTCCCTAAATATCAGTTCCCTCAACTGTAAGAAAATGAGGACAATAAGAGTAGCTATTTCAAAGCAGTGTTGTGAACATCAAATGAGAAAACTGATGTAAAGCCTTCAGCACTTAGTATCAGATAAGTATTAGCTGCTTTTGTGATGGTGGCTATGGGGCTGACCGGCAAGCTAGGAGTGCACATTCTGTTTACAGCACCAGGCTGCCAGATGGAACCATGCCTCTTTCTAAGTTCTGAACCATCTGCCCAGCAGGAGGGACACTTTTCCCTTCTCATTTCTAAACAGTGACTTATGTTTGGCATTGCACAGAACCCGTTAAATATTGTTAATGATGCCGAGGACCAGGGGCTCTCTAGGTACCAGGGTTCTAGTCTACCAGCTAATACTTGCTGTGGAATTGGTAATGGATCTAGGTGGCCCCACTGAAATACAGCCAGGACTCTGTCCATGCATTCCCACTGACCAAGTCTGGATCTCTCTTTGATTCCTGAAAAAGGGCTAGAGGACCCTTTCCTCTTCCCCTGGAGATGGAGCCCATCTTGAGGTGGAAGACGCTTGGGAGGTCTGGACCTGCCACCTCTTGCTGCATGACTAAAGGTCAACCTAGTAGTTTTTTTTAGTTAACTTAATCCGGAATCTTGAATTTTCTGAAGGATTAGAGCTGGACACTGATGAAGTGTTAGAACCAGACCCCAGGAAAATGAACTTCTGATTTGCAGTTAACTAAAGTCATAGGATCTGGAGTTTCTTGAAGCCTTGGAGCTTAGAATCTGATGAAAGCTTTGGGACTGGGCCCCAGAAAATTGCACAGACACACAACTATTTGAGTAACCTGAAGCTGTTTATGGATTCCTTGAACACCCAGGGAGTTAGAAATCTTCAATGTAATACAGTTGCTTTATTCTATAGATAAGGGAACAGTGACTACAAGGGCACCATGACTTGTCCCAAATTATATGTCAGTTGTAAGTCTCTGCACAGAGCTCTTTCTGTGACCAAAGAGAAAGAAGTCTGGAGAAGAGACAGGCAAAAGACCTCTCCATTGTAGTAAACAGGCTGAAGCATGAGAGATTTGGATCAGACATAAAGGTGGATCTTTCCCAACGGTTTTAGATAGTGAAATCGAGTGTAAAACCTCATGCAACAAATATTTACAGAGTTCCTGCTAGATGCTATGTCTCATTCTAGGTCCTGGAAATGTATAGCAATCTAGAAAACAAATAAAAATTCCTGCCTTCGTGGAGTTAGCAGAAATAGATCAATACCAAATCAACAATAAAAATGTATAGCAAGTTAGATAATTAGGGTGAAAGAAGAAAAATAAAGGTGGAAGGGAGGGTTAGGAGGGAAGGGGAGGTTGGTGGTGTTGAGTTGCAGTTGTAATTAGGGTGGTGACCTGTGAGATCAGAGTCCTCATGGAGGTACTTGGTAAATCATCTTTGGTGAGGATCTGACAGATGGGGTACAGGCTTGCTTGCAAGAGGTATTCACTACCTATTTGTGCAGGAGTGTTTATCAGTGAGCCAGGCAGTTAGCCCAACCCTCTTTAGAGCCCTACACATATAGCCAATTGGTCTTGCCTAGGGCCACCCAGGTGGTAAGTAGCAAATGGGCTCCAGTTTGCAGAGCACAGGGCAGGTGGGATCCTGCGGGGAACTTGGGGGATGGGCTCCAAGGCATCCTCTCATCCACAGGTCAGGTACAGTGCGGGCAGGTGCACTGCCGGCTGCCTTACACCGCGCCCCCCGTCCACCTCAAAGCCGACATGGATGGGCCGCTCTCCAACCGGGGTGAGAAGGTAAATGGAGCCAGGCTGGGCCTGATGGATCAGAGCTTTCCTGCTGGGGATGGGTTTCCAGCAGCATTGCCTGCTACTGAGTGGGCACCATGTCTCTCTGTGGCAGATCATCTCTGCCCAGCTTGCTCAGGCTCCCACGGTGCCCCCAGTCAGTCAGTTGAGCAGCTGCCGGTTTGTTCCATGTGCGTGGCCACTCCCCAAGACGCCCTTGCAGGCCCCCTTTCCTATTGGCTGTGTGGCCGTCTCTTCTTCAGTCTGGAGAATTTACTGTACCTAAGCTTTGAGGTTCCAGGGAAGGCTTCTGCCTCCTATCATCTTACTGACTTTTCTTCTTCTTTCTTCCTCCTGTCTGTTGGGGATGAATAGTCAGACCTGGTGGGGCTCAGAGATCAGAGGCCAGCAAGTGACTTTGGTCAATTGGCAGGGTCTCCCCTTTGGAATTGGATCTCTGGTTGTTCGGGCATCAGGACTAAACATCCAGAGGATGCTTACACATATCAGTCCGGTGGCTGGAGGGTTTTGTTTTTTAAGCACTAGAACTGTGTGTTTAATCTTGTCCATAATGCAAACGAAAGTAGATAGAGCTGCTTGGTGAAACCATGGAGGGGTAGGAGCCTTACTTCTTTCTCAACTCTGAGACACTTCACAGTTAGCCTTGAAAGCCATTGCTCTGAGGCAGACCCTCATTTTAGAAGTAGAAAGATAGAGGCCGCTGTAGCTGAAGGTCAGGGCCTGGGTGAGAGCCTGTGCATTTACTCACTTACTGAGAGTCTGGAGCACAGAGATAGGCAAAGCATGGTCACTGCTCTTGAGGGGGCCACAGACTGGAAGGGAAGACTGTGATCAAACTGCGATGAGCCCATGAGATATGGGGAGGAGTGGGGCAAAGGAGAGACTTTGGGAAGACTTCCTGGAGGAAGGCAACCCTGGAACCTAGGCCTGGAAGCTGAACCAGAGTTTATCGGGGAAAGCAGGAGCTATTCTGAGCGTCAAAGAACTGTGAGCCCTTCAATGTCCCTGGCACACAGGCTTAAGGGGGAAACTGGTGAGAAAGAGGTGCCTGGAACAGTGGACTTTATTCTTGGCAGCACGGGAGGGGGATGCTAAGTGCTTACAAGCATCACTGTGGTAGTACTCTGAGAGGCTGGGGGAAGAATGAGCCATGTGAGGTAGGAAGCAGCACGTGGTAGGGTGTCTAGGTAGAGAAGCTCAGTGCTTTAAAGATAAAAAGGTCCTCATGGACCCTGCAGGCCAGTGGATCCCAGTCTTGGCGTATCTTGGAATCATGTGAGAAGCTTGGAAAGGTATAGATTCCCAAGCCAGGGAACTGGATAGGGAGGTCTGAGTTGGAACACAGGGATCTGCATGTGTCGTGCCCAACCTATGAGATTCTGAAGGGGAGCCTGGAGGAGAGAGCACTCTTTCAGGATCCTTCCTTTAGCTCTGCCTCCTGTTTTGCATGTGCTGGGCTCTGTGCTGGATGGCACAGGGGAATGTCTGTAGTATGGAGGTATAGATAACCTAGTTGGACAGATAGGTTTACAGGTAAATTGTATTCCTCAACCCAAGAATCTGGGAGCTGGTGAGACCACCCCAGGAAAATCCACTCTGAGACTGTCATCTTCACAGTGAGAGCTGCTGTTTATTGAGCTCTTTCTCTGAGACAAGCACTTTGCACATGTCATCTACTTGATACCTCCCAGCCACCTGTGGGTGTGGAGATGGCCTTCCTCAAGCAAAGATGACATGATTTGTCCAGGGATGTGGTGGGTCTGTTGGACTCTGAAGTCTGTGCAGTTTAGTAATCATTTCCTATCGTGTAGCACTTTAGAACTAAAAGAGCTCTCTCTGACCTCATCCTTCACAGCCTCACTGGGAGGATGATTATGATGATCTGGGTTTCATACTTGTAGAAACTGAGGCTTATAAACAGCAATAGCTTGTCCAGGCTCCCAGTGAGCGTGAGCATAGCTGTCCTTAATCCTAGGCCTGCCTGCCTTACCGGTGGGAGAAAATTTGTCCTCTTAAACTGGTACTGGGACTGAGGAAGGAAGCCGGCACAATCTCTGCCAGAAGGAGCAGCAGTTACATAGGCAGTTACACTGCAGTATGATACAGATGAAGTGGGGACAACCATGGATTTGAAGGACCCAGAAGGGGGAGTGATAAGCTCTTGGGGAGGACATCCCGTGTTGAGAGCAAGTGTATAGAAGCACAGAGGTGTGGGTTTGAGGGCCCCATGGGGTGTTTAGTCCAGCTGAGGAGAGCTGACAGGGGCTATATAATGAAGGGCCTGGTCCACTGAGGAAAGCGGGTGAGCCTTGGAAGTGTATGGGACTGGTCCCAGCACTTGGAGAAGAGCCCCTTTCTCCTGGTTGTGCAGCTAAGCTTGTGGTTATGTCTTGTTCAGCCTGAAAAGTGAGCTAGGCCGGGCTCTGGCAGCTTTGGCTCTAGGTTCCTGGCCCCTGGGTTTGTCTGCTGAGCTAGAATTCTCTCTTACTGGGTTATGTCCCCAGCTTTGTGTCCAGAAGCATTGCGTTAAAGGGTGCCTCCCTCCATGACCTACTGCCCTCACTGTGAGGCCTTCTGCCAGCTCTAAGGGATCTTTCTGTTCACATCCTGTCAAACCTGTAGGGCCTGGTGGGTCACAGGGTGTGGGCTGAGCAGTCAGCTCAGCACTGCATGGGCTTTCTCCCAAGTTCCTCTAGGCCTGAGCCAGCCCAGTTGTGAGAAGACCCAGTTTCCCCCCTAGGGCTGGTCCCTGAACCCACTCATCCAGACCAGCACTGGCCTGGCCAGGAGAACAATGCCCTGGACATTCTCAGAGGAGCTTCCTGTCTCTACTGCATCATCATTTGGCCACACATGCCTGTGAGTTTCCGGAACCACATTTCTTCCTGGTCAAGTACCCTGATCCCATAACTGTAGTGCTTGGAAAGTTTTTAGAACCAAGCTATCATTGATCGGACGGAGAAGCTGAGGCCCATGGAGGAGAAGGATCTGACTAGGGTTATTCCTTTTGAGCAAGCTTTTCTTAGTGAGAGCCCAAAGCCATGTGTCCTGCAGGCTAAAGAGAGCAGTGCCCGACACCAGGTGAGGGATGCTACCTGAGGTCTAGAACGCCAGGTCTCATTATCTGCTACCTCTTTCTTCTGAGACTCTGAAGAGGAAGTTTCTCAGAGCTTCAGTTTCTGCATCTGCAAGATGGAGTTAATAATAATTCCCACTACCTAGGACTGCTGTAGAGAGTAAATGCAATGATGTATAAAGAGTCTTGCACACTACCTGGTACACAGGAAGTGCTCCATAGGTGTTGGTTATTATTTGATTATGGAAATCCCACCTTATATACGGAGGATTTGTTCTAAGACACCATGGGTAATACCAAGCCCTACATATACTATCTTTTTTCCCACACATACATACCTATGATAAAGGTTCTTTTACAAATTAGGCACAGCAAGAGGTTAACAAAAATAATTAATAACAAAATAGAACAATTACAGCAATATATGGAAATGATAGTTATATGGACAGGTTCTTGATCTTTTGAAAGTGTCAAAACAAATGCTAGTATTTTGGGATTGCAGTTGATCAGAGATTGCAGTTGATCAGAGATTGCAGCTGATCAGAGTTTACTGAAAGTGTGGGTCAGGGAGAGCTGTGCTCCCTCATTGCTTTCCTCCCCCACCTCCTCTGGTAACTGTTGCCAGGCAAGAATTGTTCCTGATCAGAATGTATCAACCATGGGGTTGTGCCCGCTGGATGTCCCTGGACCTCTTGAAATCTCCTATTTTCTTGTGAAAAGGAACATCCCATTGACCAGCTAGCTAATAGTAATCCTTGACCTGAACTTCAGGGACCTGGGTGTGTGAGTGTCAGCGAGGTGTCAGCTAGGTGCTTCAGTGGAGGAGGGAAAGAGGAAGTTGTCACAAGCCTCTTGGCTCTGTGAAGATAAAGTGTGCATGGAGTGCGGAGGCTGCCGTCTGCCGGATAGTAAGCGGTCAGTGGTATTATCGTGGTGCCCTTGAAGAGGTAGAGATTGTCCGGTAAAGAGACCTTGCTCTGGATCTAGGCGTGGTTCTGATGCTGGGTTTACCTCTTCCTAGCTCTGTGACCACAGGCTCACTAATTGCTACCTCTTTGAGTTCCAGTGCCTTCCCTGTGAAACAGAGATAATGCTGGGACTCCCCCATGGGGTCAAGGTGTGGCTTCAGTGAAATAATTCTTGGAAGGTTCAGGGTAAAATGCCCAAGCTTCTTTGTTGCTGGTGTTGTAGCTTACTGAATCTTCCCTGTCATCCCCATTTTATTTAGGAAGCAGGCTCAGAGAAGGGAGTGATTTGCCCAGGTTCTCACAGCAAGTAAACTGGCAGAGCCAGGATTTAAATCCAAACCTAGGCCCTGAGCCCAACCTCATTCTCCAGTTCTCCATGCCTTTGAGTTCCCCTGGAGGCTGCCTGGTGGGGCCGGCCTCCAGCTTAGCCCCCTCCCATGTCCTCCTCTTGCAGGTCATCCTTTTTCAATACTAACGCTGCCGGCACTTGTGCATCTGTCCATGGGCACCCCACAGCTGCCCCTCAGCTGCTGAGATCCAGTGTCCAAGTCACGGCCAGGGATCCACAGCCTCTGCATTCACCCCCACCCGCCATCCTGCCCGCCGCCAGCTTGGCCCCCCAAGCCTAGCCTTTCCCTCTCCTGCTGAGAACCAGAAACCCCCAAGAGCACTACAGAGTCCTCCTCTTGGAAGGCAGAGCTCCCTGAAATTTGGAATGAGGGTGAAAACAACAGCCTGTTTTTCCCATTTAAACAGGAGTTATCTTCAACTTCAGCTGATCACAATAGCAAAAGGCAAATGGAATCGTGCAACGCCAACAGCCTCCTAATTTACAGGTTTTCTTTCCCCTCGTATTGGCCTTTATGTACTACTTCCTTGGAACCATCTCTGAATTCTGAATAGCCAACAACCCCCAATGTTATCCACTCTGTTGCTTTTGTCTGGAAAACTCTGCAGTGTTTGTGGGATGTCCCCAAGGGAAAGCTATGTTCTAATTTTATCATTTCCATCTGTCTGGTTATGTCAAGTTAATTCAGAAAGAGAAGAGACACTGACCAGCCCTAAGAGGCCCAATAGGGCAGAAATGGAGGCCTGCCCGGACCAGAAAGCAGACGGACCAGGGAGGGACTGGGGACACTGGACTGGGAGAAACACTAACCATTCCAAGGAGAGGAAAGAGACGGCTTAGTGAAGGGGAGACTTTACCCCCAATTCATTACTTACCTTATATGCAGAAATCATGGCAGAAATGGTATTTGATCTATGTGGTGACACTTCTGAATGTTTGAGAAGGCTAGACCTGGGGACCCTTGTTGGCTACTTGTTTACTCCTGATAGAGGTGCCTGGCCAGGTCTTCTCTTGGGGGGAGACCACTCATGGGGAGCCAGGAACAGAGCCCAGTGAAATGGCAGCCAGAATGTTAATTCATTTCTCACTAGAGAGAGGTGCCCACTGCCCATTGCCCATTGCCTGGGTGAGTGTGCCAAGCCTAGGGTTCTAGCTGGTACCTCTGGGTTTCCCCTCAGCTCTGCCCAGCTCCCACCCCACCCACTCCTGAGAACAGAGGCCACACATAGCTGTGCTCACATTCATCCCATTCTGCTGCAATTCTTCCACTCTGAACAAAGGGCTTGGGCAACACACAACCATGATTTGTTATCAGGGGATGCCCATTTGTTTCAAGCTTATCCTATAATTCTAGAACTACTTGGAGACCTGATGCATTTCCCACTAGAGGCTGCTAGTAAGCATGTTTTAGCTCAAGTCTTTATTCCTACATTTGGAAGGAGACCGTAGGACAAAGAAACATACACAGTCGATGTCCCCATTTTCAACCATGGCAGACATCACTAATCGATTGCAACATTCTTATTCTCACTCAGTCTGGATAAGCTTTCAGAATTCACATGCTTGAAGTAGGCACTTAAATGAGAACCTATATGCCAGTTGCTCTGAGACCTGGAGGAGGGTGAGGCTTGAGTGTGGCCCAAGAAAGGAACCTGAATCCCCTCCCTTCCAAAGACGTTACAGCTGACTAAGGACAAAGAACATAACATTCACAATGTGCTGAGTGTGACACACTGTTCAGAACTCATCCAATGGAAACTGGTGCCCAGCTCTGTGCTGGGAACTGATTTAACAGGAGCTACGTGGGCCTGATCCCTGGCCTTGGGAAGCTTAAATCTTTCTTTGATTTTTGCTCCTAATGATCAAAGCCCCAACCACAACCATGTGGTAAGTGGCCAGTTGAGCTCTGTCCCGGGTCACCTAGGACCCACTCTGCCTTCAGCCTCCTCCCAGGGTCTAGTCCTTGAGTGGATCACATGGCCGTAGCATGTTGCAGTCAAACGTCTTCACTACCCTTTTAAGAGCAGCCTGGGAACATACAGACCGTCGAGACTATTTATTTAAATACAAAACGAAAGGGGAAAACACACACGGAAAAAAATTGTAAGCACTTTTTTGTAAAACCAATGTCTGTTTTGTTACATACCTTTCATGTCGTGCTTTGTAAATGTCTTATTTGTGTAATAAATAAAGTTAATGCAAGTAGAAGTGCTGGCACTTAAATCCAGAACATGATGGGATTCCATTTCTTTCCTGTTCTCTGGTTAAGTGGTTAGGTGTCTGGCTCCTAGAATATCTGGGCTGTTGGGCAGTGCAACCCTGAAAGTAAGTACCATTTCTCTGCTGGTAAACTAGGCATTGCAAAGGCACAATGATGGACTTCTCTAAGTACTGCATTGCCCCCGTGTCTTACTAAGCTTTGAGAAAATCAGGCTGGTTTCTGTTCTTTGCTCTGCTCCCTGAACAGCAGCTCTCCACTGGGTCCAGTGCTGGCTCAACAGTCTTAGTGAAAGGTCCTAGCCCCGCCCTGCTAGAGGAGTTCTCAGTCTGGCCAGTGCTGTAAACAGACATCCTCCAGCATGCTGTGAGGGATACGGGAGGCTCTGAGCTGGATGCTATCAAATGAGAAGTTCACAAAATAGGAACAAAAGAGGAGCATATGGTTGGGCAGTCAAGGAGGGAGGTGCACAAGGGCCTGTTTGGAAGACAGGGAAGAATTTAATAAGGTGAGGGTAAGGGAATCAAGGATGGGAGACAGGACCCAGCTTCTGCACAGTGCTGGCTGGTGTAGTGGCTTTGTCAGCTCCAGGGCCACTACGTCCCCTGCAGAACGAGAAAATGCATCTCTCTGGTGGTTGTCTGTTCTTCTTTTATCAGCAGAGTCATGTGTTCAAGCCAAAGCTCCCGGTGTAGAGGGTGGAGCTGTCGTGTAGGGTGTGGAGGTGTCCCCAGCCCTGGAGGTGATGTTGGTACCTGTGGTTAAAGTGGGATTTGCAAATGTGGATGCCTCCAAAGCCACCTTATTTCTGTGGCACCACACTGATCCTGTGCCTGCGGGAAGAGGCCGAAATGCTGGCGCTGTAAAGAGGGAAAGGCTGTCCTCAGAGTCACGCTTGGGCTGATGGGAATGTACCAGCTGTAAGATGCTCACAGTGCTCAGGCCTACTACCCTCTGAGGCCAAGTGAGTCACCATCCCTCTGAACCTCATTCCCCATCTGAGGATGCTGTGATGCCCAGTCCTCCCTCGCAGGCAGAGAAAATGCACACTGCCTGTGTCTATTAGCTGCTCACTCAATTACATATATCTACTCTAGGACAATGGTTCTCAAGACTTTCACATGCATAAGAAATGGCTGGCAACTGCCAGGTCCCACTGTCAGAGATTCTGACAGGCCAGTCTAGGCTGGGGCCTGGGAACAGCTAAGCATGGTTTCTGTTTTTTTTTTTTTTTTTTTGGTACCGGGAATCAAACTCTGGACCTTGTGCTTGCCAAGCAGGCGCTTGTGCCACTGAACTATATCCCTAACCCTCACCTGAGTGATTCTGATGCAGGTGAAATGAGGGCCTTCTGAGAAACAGTCTTCTAGAGCAAACACTCCAGGGGGCCTTGATTGTTCTCAGGGCTGGGGATTTAGCTCAGTGGCACAGCGCCTGCCTGGCAAGCGCAATGTCGTGAGTTCAGTTCCCAGTATTGGAAAACAAACAAATAAATAAATAAAGCAAACACATGAATCCATGAAGGCTTTATTCTTCTGTCAAAACTGAGGGTCTAGGACTGGAACTAGGCCAGCCAGGGCCAGCCTGCAGGGCCGATGGAAACCTGCCCTAAAGGTGGTTGAAGGGTCCACAGCTTGGGCCTGTGACCCACAACCTTGACCTAACCCTTCCGACATGTCTGGATGATCCACTCGTGCTCATCATCATCTGTAGGGAAGAAGAAAGAGCTGGTCATGCTGCGTGTTTGCTGGAACCTTCTCTGCCCCAGGAGGCCCCCAGGTATGGTCCTGAGGCTGGAGTAGAGTCCAACACAGGCTCATGGTCTGCTGGGGGCCCGTCTGGAGAAGATCTTTCATTTAAATGGAATCCCTCAGCAGAGCACCTGGTCTCAGGGAAACTGAACACAAAGGGTTTGTGGATGCTTATGGAGACGAGCTGGTCTGATCCCACAGGGTCATCAGAACGCAGCAGCCTCACACTCAGGCATTCACCCGGTCCGGTATACCACAAACGGCACCTGCAGTCCTGGGGGGCCAGGCCTGGCTGGTAGTGCCAGGGGACAAGAGTCTCAGATGTATCTTTCTTTTCTGGGATCTCTGTTCATGACCCTTCAAAGAACCTGTGGTTTCCACAGGGGGCCGACACCCTGCTGACTCAGGTACCTTCCTGGGGATCACAGAGGAGGAGCAGCTGCAGCTCTGGCTCTTCCCTGAGCCCCTGAATGCAGCCATCTCCCTTTGCTTAATCCTGTGGATGCCTGACAGGCAAGGCTTTCCCACTGCTTCACAGTGCAGCAAACAGAGGGTCTTGGGGGGTCAGAGTACTTGTCCACAGCCTCAGGGTACGTGTGAGAGAGCCAAAGATCTGAACCCAGGGGTGTCTAACGACAAAGCCTGTGCTGCTTTTCAAAACCTCAAATAGAGAATGAGTGAGTTATCCATTCATAGCACGCTGCCATCCACATGCTGTGCAAGACCCTATGGATTTACTGTATTTTTATTCCCCCCTCTTTTCCTCAAACCCACACCCAACCCCTCCCCCACCACAACAGGGACCCACCATAATGGTGGGACATATACTCCTAAAATGCATGTAGCTCTATAAAATATGTGCTGTTGTTTTTTTGTGTGCAATGTGTTAATTTACAAAAATGGCATTGTGCTGTGAATTTCTTTGTATCTTACTTCTTTCCCTCAGTAGTGTGTTTCCAGGCCACTGCTTCCTCGTATTCCCTGGTTAGCTCCCCTCACACTGTATTCTCCATCTTCCCAGTGGTGGAGATGGAGGTTGACTTCAGCTCCCTGCTACCAGGAACAGCGCTGGGATTACCATTCTCAGGCATATCACTTCAGGGATACAGGGGAGAATGGCATTGGGGTTATATTCCAGGAATAGACTCCTAGGTCCTGTGCAGAATTCCTTCACTGATGCTCCTAGCGAAGCCTAAGCTCTTCTGCATTACACTGGCTGCCTGCCTTTCCTCCCCAGCTGTCTATTCCCTTCAAGTTATCTGTAACCTCGGCCATTCTCCTCTGGTCTGCAGGCAGCAGGAGGTGGCACCTTCTCGCCTTCTTTCCTAGCCCAGTGCCTTCTGCTTAAAGGAGAGCGGATGAGATGTTCCATCCCCTTTGGGTGACAAATGGCAGAAGCTAAGGAACAAGAGGACTTCCAGGGAGTTGAAATGCAGAGGGCTAGTGACCGCTTGCTCTCAGAATCAGATCCCCCTGCCCAGGGACACCCTTGGGTGTCCTCCCCTGCCCAGGGACACCTCCCTCTTTGGTGAAAAGCCCCAAGCCTGGGTCAGAGAGATGGATACTGAGGGACAGCCCTGTGGGTGCTTTACAAGCACGGCATCTCATTGGACCTTTGTAATGCCCGTCAGGGGAAGAGAGATGCCTCCATTTGATAGAGGGGATGAGCAGAGCCATGAGTCAATTATGAGATTCTGAACCTTGGCTTCTCACCCAGGGCAGATGTGATGGTATTGAGGAGATACCTCGCCCCCCTCCGACACACACACACACACACACACACACACACACACACACACACACACATACACCCAGGACTACTTCCTCTACTCTGTTACTTTACATATGACTTAAGGAAAAAGGCTCGCTAGCTTGCTGTGGTCTTTGAGAACTGCACTTTGCAGTCAGGGAGCCTCAGTTTCCCTGAGTCAGCTGCAGGAGAGTCTGGCTAAGGCTGGCAAACCAGGGGTGGGGAGCGCAGTGGTGATGTGTCAGCACACAAGGAGTTAAGCGCTGGTGGAGCCCACTTTTGCCACACTGTGAGCAGCCTGGTTGATAATTACAGTTCTGAAGTCTCCAGGCTATTCGAATCAGTGCAGCTGCAGCCTCTTCAGCGGTAACCCCTGAAACCAGACAAACTGGGTGTATTGTGCTGAACCAGTCCTCGGGCCCCTCCCTGATGGTTACAAATTGACAGCAATGGACTTAACAGCCCTCTTCACTACCCCTTTCACTCTACCTGGCTGCACAGCCACCAATTTGAATCACAGATGCCTCCCCTCCCGGCAGCTGCTCACCCACCCTCCCTCCACCTCCCCTGCGCCTCCTCGGCTCCCCTGGCCCTGCCACACCAGGGTGACGCTGCCGAAGCATATTTCATCAATATTTAAAATGGAATTAAACCTGTAGCTTTGATTAATGCCTCCCAGATCCTGGGAGTTGTGATTACTATTTTGCAAATTGCGATTGTTGGAATATGTTAATATGATTGTCTGAGAACATCTTCACCTTCTCAGATAATTTCCCCCCTTTTGGGCAGGAGGGGAGGGAGAGAAGAGGGAGGAAAAAAGATGGGGGGGAACACCTCACAAACTCTTTAATCAATTGTAAATTACCACCCTTGGCACAATTGCCGGTGGTGCAGAGGGAAAGGGAGGAAGATTTCTGGTTTGGTGCATTTATCTTTAAAAGTTTTTGGTCCTTGTTGACCCAGTAATCTCACTCTGGGACAGTATCCCTGGGAATAATCTATTTGTCTCAGAACTACTTAGAATCAAGAAAATGGAAAATGACATACATCTTTAAAAACAAGGGAATGATTACTTTGTTGTATAGTCATTCATATAACAAATAATTTCTCAACACAAGCTACATGCCAGGAATCCTTGGGAAGGGGGGAAAATTTAAGGGTAACAAATTGAAATGTAAATCATGATCAGCTCTGAGAAGTGAGATGAGAGAGATTCTTCCTTCTGCTTGTGGTATTTTCCAAATCTTTCATTAACATGTAGTGACAATATACAAAAATTAAAATAATTATTGGATTTTTTTTCCTATTCTTCAATTTAAT